TTCTTTAATTTTCTCATTGATTTCACTGCATTTATTACCTACACTTGACAGGTGGTGTGCAAAANTGTGCAAAACCATTTTTGTGCATCATCAATTGCTAATTCAGGTATAAATACTCCTCAGAAAAATGGACAAAGGTACGCAAACTTGAACAAGAAAAATAGTCCATTAAACAAAACTCTTCGACCTTATACTGACTTAAACTTCGGAGGGAATTAGCCGGGCACAGGCCTGACTCCCTTTTTCTGACCCTATTGTTTCAGGTTCGTCAGCCGGGAATTCGCTGCTCATACGATTGTAAGAATTATCTCGTGCAGTAACTCCTTCTCAAGTTGTATCATGAAGATCTGTAATGCCTAACTTGCATGATAAATCTTGAAATGGTGCACNGGATTAGTCGGGCACAGGCCTGACTCCCTTTTTCTGACCCTATTGTTTCAGGTTCGTCAGCCGGGAATTCGCTGCTCATACGATTGTAGGAATTATCTCGTGCAGTAACTCCTTCTCAAGTTGTATCATGAAGATCTGTAATGCCTAACTTGCATGATAAATCTTGAAATGGTGCACGAACTAACGCAAACTTGAACGAGATTTGAAAGGTACGCAAACTTGAACGAGAAAAATAGTTCATTAAACAAAACCCTTCGACCTTTATACTGACTTAAGCTTCGGAGGGGATTAGCCGGGTACAGGCCTGACTCCCTTTTTTTGACCCTGTTATTTCAGGTTCACCAGCTGAGAATTCGCTGCCTCATACGATTGCAGGAATTATTCCGTGCAGTAACTCCTTCTCAAGTTGTATCATGAAGATCTGTAATGCCTAACTTGCATGATAAATCTTGAAATGGTGCACGAACTAACGCAAACTTGAACGAGATTTGAAAGGTACGCAAACTTGAACGAAAAAAATAGTTCATTAAACAAAACCCTTTGACCTTATACTGACTTAAGCTTCTGAGGGGATTAGTCGGGTACAGGCCTGACTCCCTTTTTCTGACCCTGTTATTTCAGGTTCGCCAGTTGAGAATTCGCTGCCTCATACGATTGCAGGAATTATTCCGTGCAATAACTCCTTCTCAAGTTGTATCATGAAGATCTGTAATGCCTAACTTGCATGATAAATCTTGAAAATGGTGCACGAACTAACACTTTTATAAATATATTAGCAAGTTGATGATTAGTGGGGACATGAGCCATCGATATGAGACAATCACGTATTTTTTCACGAACANTGCCTAACTTGCATGATAAATCTTGAAATGGTGCACGAACTAACACTTTTATAAATATATCACCAAGTTGATGATTAGTGGGGACATGAGCCATCGATATGAGACAATCACGTATTTTTTCACGAACAAAATGATAATTGAATTCAATATATTTTGTTCATTCGTAAAATACGGGATTTTGAGTTATGTGGAGAGCAGTGTTGTTNTTTCACGAACAAAATGATAATTGAATTCAATATATTTTGTTCATTTGTAAAATACGGGATTTTGAGTTATGTGGAGAGCAGTTTTGTTGTCACAATAAAGGAGCATGGGTTAAGAATGAGATACGATAAGATCATGTGGAAGAGTTTTTGAGCCAAGGGAGTTCACTCGTAATTATGTCCAATGCTGTATTCCCACAAAGGTTCAGTGTGTTTCATTATTTGATTGAACGGACACTACTTAATGCTATTCCATCCCTCCGGTCCGGTGCTTACAAGTGTAACTAGTGTCTTTTCTCTAACAACAACTTAATAAAAATCTGTTGCACTGTTAAAATGCAATCATTGTAAAGCAACAATTTCAAATATACTTTCCACTAAAACGAGTATGCTGCGTGTCGAAACACGATTCACCAAATTAAAATATAGGGTTAATTATAAATACCCTCTCTAAGTATAGGCCATGTTGCAATCAGCTCCTTGTAGTTTCAATTTAAACAATTTGTCCACCTAAAGTTTTGGCAAGATTAAATTGATTCACAAAGTGGATGGGATATATAAAATTTTAATATATTCTCTTTCTTCTCTTCCTACCCGATACATTAAAACACGAGCCCTAAATAATACATAACCCCAACCTCTTTTTTTAAATTTGGCGGCCCTCAACATCTTCCCCTGCTCCCCCAC